AGGTTTGGGAAATAAGTTTTAGAATACGGCGTGACCTACTAAGTTATTTGTTTTACAACGATTTGTTGTTTGGTTTCTTCAACGGTGCACAAATGTAATAATGATAAAAACTCATTGGCGTGTTCGCTATAATATTATATTCGAAGCGTGAACTTGACACGCACAATAAACTAGAAAACCACAGGCAAGTTGTTTTCTTCTTTATTTTTTTGTCATGTCCCTTACGCCTGTAACACGTGTGTATAAACATAAAGTATTTTTTACCCATAAAATGACTTGTTATTCTGGCTTTTCTCGTCGGTGCAGAGTCAATTGCAATACTGTATTTTGTATCTAACGTGAGGCATTTGTTTTGCGATGAGCTGTTTTTCTCTTGTATGTTTACCACCGAGCCAAATTGTATCTTAATATTTTTTTCTAACCGTATATAGCGCTCACAGAATACTTTATATTCAACGGCATAATGTGCACATAAGTTCTACAATAACATGTTTTTTTGGGTCACAAATAACCCGCTTTACGCTTACAGGCGGAATCAATCATTTTTCGTAGCAACTAAATGGCGTAACGCCATTTTAAGACTCAAAACTATTGACGTGTTCATTCTTATATACCACTAGGAGTTTTATATGATTTAAAAGCCTTAACTCAACCCGTACAATAATTTTCAAAATATGTAGCAACCGTTTAGGTTAGGTATATTATGAACTTTAATATCTTTGGGAGATTTACATACATATCCATATACATTTACATTTAACGTGTTATCCATTTTCATTTAGTATACCTTCAGTTATAATTAATTTTCAAATTGGTCACGTGACGGTTTCAAATTTCCTAAACCGTTGTTTTTCAAATCAGAAAATGTACTCAAACGACGACGCGCCATGTACAAATAAAAATTTAGAAATTGTTTTGAAAAAAAAAACAGAGAATAACAATCGACATTATGATATTTATGCATGTGTTTGTATACCTACTAGTTTGCTCTTAAATCAGACCTCAACTACAAAATGTATAGTTTTTAAAACTTCATATTTAGGTCATAGCAAACTCTGGGTTTATTTAAAAACAAATTATTCAACACAATTTAATAACATTTAAAGAGATTTAATATTATAATATTATTTACTAATCATCACTAACCATCAAAGGTGGTCAAATTATATGTTTTTGGGGTCGGCGATTACGAATTTAATATCAGTTCTCAATTTTAATCAGCCAGAAAGAACTTAAGTAAAAAAAAAAAAAATTGAATTTGTGTAAACTTAAAGTCAAAAGTGTTACTTGAGCACAAAACTTAATAGTATTATTCTGCATAGATCTACATAAAATTGTTTTAATGATTTGATACATTTTTTTTTAAGATTTTAAGTGTTTTTGTTAAAATATACGCAATCTGCGAAAACACAGATTCCCGGCAATTAAAAAAAAAAACTGTAGTGCCGAATTTGTTTTCCGTTTAATATGTTATGGATACATATGAGTTCCAACTACTGGCAAATTTTCAACCCAAAAGTCTTAAAATTAAGGCTAAAAACAAAAAACTTGAACCCCCTCTAGGGGGATGGGGAATGGGTTTTATTTAAATTTGATACAACTGACGTGCGCGGGCATAACAAATAAATATTTCTTATAAATTTCAACTCGATCCGACTCTTTTTCTCGAAATAATAGCCAGTAAAATTTGTAACTTAAAAACTCGTACGTTTTTTTTTTGTTTTTTTCAAATTTCGTCTGTGAAGAAGTAAACTTTTTCAACTTTTACCCCCCAAAAGTACCAACTAAATGAAATTTGCGATTTATAGAGTTGCTACTCGAAGGAATTGATCCAGTATTAAAAAAGCCACAGTGTATACAGATAAAAAAAAACACACACATCAGAGTAAAACCAATACCTTCTCGCTTTGCATCGAAGCTAAAAGGTTAATGTTTAGTATTTTTATAATATTGTAAAATATGATAACCAAAAATGTTTACAAAAAATATATACTACAAAATTGCAATTATTCTAAAGCGCACTCATCCCATCTTTAAACTATGACGAAAATATTCGGTTTGAGTGTCCAATAAAAAAGTTTTATCAATTTTCAAAATGCCTATTGCTTTGTGTTCCACTCAATTTGAAAACATTTAAAACGGCGGTGACCGTAGGAGATGGTGGAAAATTTTCAACAAATTAGGGGTCTCGTTTTAGGTCAATGCGAACCAATGAGTCATTAATGATAAGACCATTGCATAGGTGTATAAATCAGTTTGGTAATTGTTAGAGAGTGAGGATTTTGTATAATTTCGCACATTGGCGCATGTGTTTCAAAAGTTACACCGAGTTCACCAAGTAAATAAAGATTTATATGTACGATTTTCTATGGAAGTATTATTTATCGAATTCTCGCCTAAGCGTTAACTCGAAAACACAATTTTTTTACCATAGAAAAACACTGGGTTGTTCGACGTGAGTTCCCATTTCCACTGTTTACATAAATTTAAATATACGAATCGACAAATTTAGGGTCTTAAGAAATTCATGGCCAACCCGACTTATTGACGATTTTCTAGAATAATAATAAAAAAAACAATTTACGTGAACCGTTTTTGGTTTTTTTTTTGTAATACAATATTATTTCAAGGTCATTGTAATTTCCCCCCCTTCGGCAAGAGTATTTTAGGGAGGGTTGATTTTGCAATTACTTATAGCAAATTGTGTGAATAATTCATTTAGACATTTATGTTAATCTATTTTTTGTTTTTTAGTAAAATAGAATTTCATTGAACTTGGAAGACATTTCTAAGCACATTAAACAAAAAAAAAAACAACTACAAACATTATTCGATAATATTATTAGAACATTTCCTGAAAATATAACTAAAATAAATCAATTAGAATGCTAATTATTACAATTACTAGATTTATATGATACGTTTAGTCACAAACATTATTTTTCAATGCATAGTATTACCACATAATTTTAATTGAATACAATATGAATAAATTGGATTAAAGTTAAAATTTAATAATGGTTACATGTATTATACTATTTTACGAAGTGTACCGGGTGATTAATGAACTATGACCAGTATAAGTCAATAACTTAGAAGATATTTTGAACTTTTTTTAATAATTTTTTAATAGTATTTTATAGTTATTAGTTAGGACAAACTTAATATATTTTTGTAAAATATAACCCCATCCCTTATATGTTAAAACCGTATGAACTTGAGTTTTTTTTAAATAGGAACGTACATATTTGATTAACTTTTTGTCGTTCACTTAAACTTGTTTCATGTTGTAAAAGTCAGGCCAACCTTATACTAGAGTACGCAATTAAATAATTACCTAAAAGTTAATTAAATAATTTAATTAATTTAATTAATTCGATGTCTCTTACAATTATTACATTTTCAAGTTCTAATAACAAACTAAGGACCTGAAGTAACCAGGCACACATGTGTTAGCTCTAATAATGAATAACCAAACACTGTGCTTAGCTAACTGTGACAAATACATGGGCATTGTCTGCTTACAGCGATTGTCTTACAAATATAAGAAGCCAGGCGTTCAGCTTGAAAATAAGTGTTAGTACTAATACTAACGGAAAAACACACGAGGTCTATTTAATAAATTAGTACTGCATTTAGATTAAAGGCGGATTCTGCAAAAAGTCTGCAACAAAAATGCAAACACCTACAAATTCTGTGACTGTAATTAAAGCAGCATTGTTTTTTTTTACTATTGTTTTTACCGACATAACTAAATTGTTTCTTATGATTTGCCGTCACCAATCAAACAATATTATTTTGTCATTTAGCAGAGGTCGTGTATGGCCGTGACACGATAATGGAATAAAAGCGAGGAGTATGTTAAAATTGAACAAAAGTCTTCGCGTAGATGAATATTATTTCTAGCGTTATGTTATTTAAAAGGGATGAAAATGTAATGCTTGTCCAATACACGTCTGGGCAGTGGGCCGTTGGACAGTTCACGTAACTATTGAAGCAGACACTTTAATTGAAGTGATAGCTTTTCATACTTTGTTTTATTTATGAGATCGGATAAATCCGCGGTACTACGTCAATTACAATTAGTACTCGTCTGACTATTACCTAATGATTCCCATTAATTCTAGTAAAAAAGTCGTGATTTGTGATGTAAAATATCATAATATATTTAAGAAAGTACCCAAACATTTTAGTCAGCAATTAAAATTTTAAGGCCGGCATCTTCATTTTGACACCCCGCCCCCCCCTTCCTTGAATATTTCTTAGCACCGGCCCTGTGGTCTGGTAACTGATTATTATTTACAATGTCATATATCTCTGTAGATTAAGTAAGATATAGGTATACTATATGATAATATCAGTTATTCAGATACCTATGTGATGATTTTATTGTAATACTACATTAACCACTACTTAACACCGACCTTTAGACTTTGTGTTCCGACTGTTTGCACGAAATACACTATAACTGATAAGCGTGACACTAAAGTTTTTTCTACAATTAGGTTTTTTGTGACGATTTTTTATTTTTTAATTCGAGCTATTCGATAAGAGTCGGTTATAATTTTTACAGTTTATAACAACAATTCATCGTGTTGATACTTCTAGAATATTGTGTGTCGTTCAGTAACTAGATGGCTTGCAAGGCCTAGGAGAGGTGATCGTGATGATTTTGAAATGAAAACATCATTTTAACGGTATTACATTATTTATTTAATCGTTTTATAAATGAAAACATAATAATGTAACAATAAAATAAACATATGTAAGTAATAAAATAAATAATAATACAACACAAAAATAAAACATCAAATTTAAAACTGATAACCCATAGTTAAAACACCCACAAACAATTTTCGTATGTTAATCATTCTGTATAATTTTTAATTCAGAAAAAACACAAATCTTTATATGGGGGGGGGGGGGGCAAATGCCACCCCGTTGGCAAAAAATAATATTAAAAACATTAGTATACGCCTATGCTCAGCTATATTATAACATCATTTCTTCTGTAAAGTGCTCTGACTTAAAAACTCATTGATGCTGGGTACGCCGTTGTCCATGTCTATTAACGCATAGAGGAATTCCACTATGTCCACATAGCTGTCTTCTAAAAAGTACAATATTTTCAGTTAAGAAGTTTATTTTATTTTGTCGCTAGATCTACTTCAACGTTTTGGCCACTATAATATATACAGATTTATTGTGATAAAAATCAGCAATCATTTTTCCGGGAAGCTTTGTATAATTGTAAAATTACTTTTTCCCCGAGATGTTGAAATTATGAAAATATCCGTATAGAACAATTAACAAATGTATTTACCGTATCCTTAACATATCAACCCTAACGATCATATAAAAACCCCAGTAAGCTATATCATTATCGTAACCTTAAACTAATGGATACTTTTCCTTTTTTTTTTTTTAGAGGTAGTTTTTGGACTCTGTATCGGATGATTATATAAACCCAGATCTGTAATAATATGAAACAACTTTTTTTTCCGGCTTATTTACTAACCCCAACTGTAACACATGCAAAACCGCCCAAGTCCTACTTTATGCTCTTCCTCGCCATGGTAATTATTTAAAAAAATTAAGCCGATTTCGTTAACGTTATAATTTTCAATCTTACTATTGGTGTCGTGATCTTTCATGAATTTCTCAAGGTCTTTGTCCTCGAAAATCTCGGAGTTAATTTTTTTAAGTTCTTCTGTACTGAGTAAACCGTCTTTGTCTTTGTCAACCTGATTGAATTGACTTACAATTTGCCTAACTATATCGACAGGTATAGCTTCACCCTGAAATATCAACAAAGTAATTAAAATAGTGGGTACCTCTTCAGATGCACACGGGGGCGTTATCCACTCGACATTAATAGTTGTACTGTGACAGCATGTGGTTTGCACGAATAAAATAATATACTCTATGGGATGTGATAGTATTGAGACAACCGGATTTTCATAGTAAAATAAAGGAGCATATTAATATCTAAGGCAATTTTTTTGGCGGATCCGATAATTTTTTTGTCTTTACATTTTTACACTTTAAGTTTTTTCTTATTTTCTAATAAATTATTAAAATTTAGTCGAAACTCTAGTTTTTATTCGTGCAGAACAGCTATATTAATGTAAAAAAAATATATAATGTTTTTCTATAGAAATAACTGTGATAGCCGGACAACAAAAAAAAACTAAAACCAATACACAATGTTCTCATTGCTGTACTAAAATAAATATACACTATGGCGATTTAACGAAAAACGTCCTATACTCTAATGCTTTAATAAATGAGTGTGTGCGCCATCGTAAAAGCAAATAGAACACAATCGTAATCAAATTATCAAACTTACTTTTTCTCCTTTACTGTATTCTGCAATGACAACCAACAGTTCTTGCAACTCCAAAGCAGCTTCACCTATAATCGAAATAATGAGTACATTTTTTATTTTACTAAAATATATACATATTACATATTATAATCATAGAACCAGAACTGAGACAAATGTTTAAACAAAACAAAATAATAGAATAAATCTTAGTTAAATTACAGTTGTTTCGTAAATAACAAAAAAAAAAGATAACATCATTCAAAACGATATAAATACAATTTAGTTTGCTTATTCGTTTTATTTTATAGATGACAAATGTTCTCGATTAATTTAAAATAATTAAATCACATACTATTAAGAATAATATCGATAACAAGTAATTTGAAGCTAACAACTAGTGTTGATTAATTTGTTCATAAAAAAGTCAAATAATAAAATTCGATCAAGTAAAAATAATTTTTTTACTTATTGCTCCGTTTAAATTAAAAGTTATTTTTCCAAACCTGTATAATAATAACAAACGAGATAACATCAACAAAATATTCTTACGAGTTGTAGTAAAGCTCAAAAGGTCCTTGAGGTCTTCTCCGACTATAGATAACTTTATGAAAAAGTCTGTTATTCCTAAAGGATTAATTTGATTGCCTGTTTTGTTTTCTTTTAATTTGGCCAGTTCGTCAATGTGTATCTTGTCTAGACTTCCGTCCTAAGTACAAGTATTTAAATCATGTAAGTATACGAAGGGAGTAAGATTTTTTTTTTGTAAATTCGCCAAAATGTATAGTAGGTATGGCAAAAGTATTATAGTTATATGTGTGCTTCGTCAAGACTTTAACGAAACCATAAATACTTACTTGAGGTTTTACTTCCAAATAGGCTTTCACCAACTCCACGGCGTTAATTGTTTTGTCATCTAAAAAAATTAATTTAAATCATCAACCTTAGTAATATAATTAACTGCTTAGCTGACTCAATAATACTTGTGCTAAATTGGCCTGCTAAATCATCTTTGAACTTTTGTCCTAGACTTAAACTAGCAATGAGGTCTTTTAATTCTTCGTAGTCAATAAGACCATCGTTGTTACGCTTTTGGTCAAATTTTCTGAACACTGTCACAATAATTGTTACTTCGAAGGATGATACATTTTGTTTCTACGAAAAAAACCCATATGGTAACAAGAAAATTAGGTTAATTTGAAATTTTCCCATATTTTTTTTTTCAATATTACCTGCCAGGAGTCAGAACTCTTATCGTTATCGGCCAGAAGTATCAAAAGATCTTGTGCTTTATGAGCGTCCGACACATCTATAGTTTAAAATAAAATAGAAAAATATATTTTGAACAATTTTCAATCGAACTACCCAAGCCGAGTGCATTAAATTGAAAATCGTTAAATACTGGAAAGACGGATATTATTTTTTACAGACATCAAATTTGTTTCCAAGTGGGAGGTGGGGTAAGATTTGATTACAACCGAAAAGTTTAAACCCTGTTTAAAAGATGCTTTATTACCTGTGTTGTATGTGAAATGTGACATGGATTTCATGCCAAGTTTTAGTCCAAGATCCAAGATAATTTGCTTGGGAATTTCGTTTTTATATGTTTCGTAGTCTTTAAATAAAGAAACAATATCCTTGGCTTGCCGCTCATTGATTCCGGCGCTCTATAAAATATTATAGGTACAATAAAAATAATAATACATACTATTAACTAAAGAAATGTTTTTTATTAAGTACTTTTACCTGTGTTACGGTCACAAAGTACAACATGCAAAGGATAACGGCACTTTTGAAATGCATAACGGTTGTTTATTTTTCAAACACTTTGTTGAACCAGAAGTAAGTCTTCAATACCAAAGTCGGGTGAACAGTGAAATTCGATTGTACTCGAGGTGTCTTCTATAGGGTGCGAATGATAAAAACAACTTAAGTTTAGAAATGGATAATATTGGTAGATAGTTGTTTTTATTTTTTATTTTATTTACATAGTACACGCTTTAGGTAATGTTTTTGACTCAAATGTACAGTGTAGACACGGCGCAACCTAGAAAAACACTGCACATTTGCTTATGTAAAATGGCATAAAAATATATTTTGTACTTGATATAAATCGTACAAGCACAATACAGCGAACGACGAATATTATTAAATCTTCATACAATAATATTTTGCATTTAAATAAATTAAATGATTTTCATACGTTGTACTTTGCGATTACATATTTTATTCGAGGGGTGAGAAAATCCTTCTAAAATGGTGTATAGCCACCAAACTTACAAAATACTAGTAGATAGTTGTTTTTCTTTTTTTTTTCTTTATACTTATGTACTTGAATATATACTTAAATAAATGTTTTTGACTCGGTTGTACAGTTGTAAGCATAGTGTAACCCAAAAAAACACTGCACATTTACTAGCGTAAAATGGAATAATAACATATTTTTATTCGCTATATATTCGCACAAAAACAAAAACAATTTAGCAGACGACGAATGCTATTAAATCTTCATGTAATAATATTATTCGTTAAAATAAAAAAAATAATAATAATAATTTCCATACACTAAACTAGACTACACTAACTAGAAATCAAGCATAGTCTTAAATAATTACGGCAACAAAACGTCAAAATATTTTCAAAAGTGTTTACTGTTAAGATTCCATCGTCTAACGAAAAATAATTTATGCCAATGTTTTCCATTTATAAATAAATATAAACTTAATGGAGATATTTTGAAAACTTATGTTAACGACTTTCGGTTCACTTACATAATATTCATTATTCAATAATCTATATTAAACCTAACAAATATAGTTAACGATGTTGGAGATTAAATATTGATTTTAATACCAAAATATGCTTTACACACATTTCTACAACATCAGTAACAATATCATTGCATTATATTATTATAATTACGGTGTCATTTACAAAATAGATTGTATTAAGTTTCGGGGGATTTATTATTAAATATCGAACCAGCCTAATACTAAAAATACATTTTTAAGCACATTATTGACAATGATTTTGTATACTATAATTCAAGATTGAATGTTCTATAATACCGTTAAAAAATAACATATGACATGGTTTTTTTATAAATGATTCTTAGAAACATGAAAAAAAAAATTTTAATTATCACAATTATTAGGTATTAAATTTCGATGGCCTGAAATTGTAGTATTAATACGTTTGTCGTTAAATATTATTATTATTCACTATTTTAAAAAAATATATGTGTATTGCAGAAACTGTTCGATAGATCATTCCTTTCCTTTTTGAGTTTTGTTTTTTGAAAAAGTATTGAATTGGCAATAAATGTAAAAAATAATGAGCAACAATTGACAGTCTATATGGAATGTTTAATTTAGCACGGCCAATCTATAACAGACATTTTATTATTTTTGTCTAAGAGTATTTCCTTTGTCGGTCTATAAATTGCATGTCTAGTTGTCACACCTTGAGTCTTTTAACTATGCCTAACAAGCGAAATTCAAGAAAAGATGCTACAATTTCTCGAGGAAACGGTTTATGGTATTTTCTTATAAAATACTTTACCAGAGGCCCAAATTCGGATTTCCAATTGATAATGCACTGGGTTTTATGTTATACTCTGAGTTGGGTTTTCTCTCGTTAGGTTATGTATAAACCGTAACAAATGGTCTTTTAATTATTAACTTCCTACCTGGTTTGTTTTATCTATTCTGTACTGTTAGGCGGTCCAACCAAAAAATAATTTGAAATTTGGCTCTGTCTTTTTTAATTTTCAGAAACTTTTTTTACAGTAGTCCACATTTCAATGCTATAAAAGTGCAAAAGCTAACCGTTTTTATCAGCCCTCAAATAATAAATAAATTACCAAAAAAAAAAGATCACTGCACACCTAAGAGGGGTGGAAAAAAATCACTTCGAATAAACGAACAAATCATTTTATAGTCTCATATTCATGAAATGCAGAAAATTAAAAAATTACAAATATTAAATAAAAAAAACATTTAACCCTTCGTTAGAGTGTTGTGGTTCATTAAACCCCACATGATAAGATTTTGTGTGATACTAATAGTTATCAATCTAGATCAAATTTTCTTTTTTATGAAATCTTTCTTTCTATGTTACTTTATGATTGAAATCGGTTTTGGTTGGTCAATAACCACATGTTTTATTGTGTTATTGTGTTTTGAATTGAGTGATATCAACAAACGGGTATTTCAAACCCCAACACATTTTTCATGTACCAATTTATATTTATGTTACCAAAGACTCAAAAAGTGAAGAAGATAACTTAAAAATTTACTTTTCTACTGACAAGGGTTAAACCTAAAACTGATTATTTTATTTTGAAAAACAACATGTATTGAGATAAGGGTTTAATTTTTAGCTTCGATGCAGAGCGGCGAAGGTATAGGTTTTACCCTGACGTGGGCTTTTTTTTTATCTGTATACACTGTAACTTTTTTAATATTGGACCAATTCCTTCGAGTAGCAACTCTATAAATCACAAATTTTATCTAGTTGGTACTTTGGGGGAGGGGGAGGGGTAAAAGTTGAAAAAGTTTACTTCTTCACAGACGAAATTTGAAAAAAACAAAAAAAAAACCGTACGAGTTTTTAAATTAGAACTTTTACTGGCTATAATTTCGAGAAAAAGAGTCGGGTCGAGATGAAATTTATAAGGAATATTTATTTGGTAAAATATAAATAATTAACTACAAACATGGTGTACCAGATGTGAGAAACGAACAGACGCAAAAAACTGTCAGTTTGTAACGTCTAACCGTATTAGGTTAGGTTAGGACCCAATGGTCGGTATCATAATATTGTGTTTATTACATGATATGACAGACGACTACATCGTGTAACTGATTATAGTAGATACACGATTTATTGGGGAAAAACCTATACGTGTACTTATTAAGACACTTAATGATTCTGACACGACAAAATCACTGTTGTTATCTCGTTATTTTATCGCCCGCGTTATATCATCGTACCGAAGGTCATCTATGAGTATATAAGGTCCAAATACCTGCAAATTATGAAGAGGACTGTTGTTCTTTGGATTCAGATTAAGTGTTGGTTTTTATGCAGTATACCAACCCAAAATGTATTTTATATTACACAATTTTTTTAAAGGAACACTAATATTTTGCATATTGTTATATTGTTATTTATTTAAAGAGATTCACGCCTGATTGTTTAAATTATTTAATATTAGATAATCAGTTTCGTGCTATTTTCAAATTTTTAGTTTAGCAACTTGTAGCTCTGATTTTGTATAAAATATTTCATTATTTTATTACGGTGTTCAAATTAAGATATATTTTAATAATTATCAAAAGTCATGAATGATAATACTTTATTTTATGACTATATCAAATCTCGTGAACATTTAACTTTGTGATACTGCTCCTATACTATTATTAAAAAAACACAATTTTTAAAATCTCCATAAAAGGTTATTGTTAAATATGTAAATGTAACAGCCAGCAGCCGACCGCTAGTTGTAATTTGAAAGCGATTTTATCCGAGAGGAATATTACAGTAGAGTATAGTCATAATGGAATCAAAGCAACGAGGAGACGGAGAGGTCACGGGACTACAGGAATTATTATAAATAAAAGTGATAAAATTGAATAAAATCACTTTCAAATAAACGCTTTAATGCTTATTGTAAATACAGCACTTCAATTTAATACTTTCTAATTTTGCTGGTTTATGCTGTGCTTGGTTTGGACTGTACTAGCTTGAAAATACTAACTACTGATTTGCATCGAAGCGTTTTTTCGAAAGTGATTTCATCACTCTCAGATTTAAAAATTCCTGTAAGACTGTGACCTCCCCGTTCCCACTATGCTCCGTCCCCACCATGCCCTGACCCCACTGTACTGGTTTTTTTAACATAAATTTAAGTATTACCTAGTAATTTAAAAACTGATTGTTCACATACATATGATAATAAATAAATTGGTATTTATTTTTTGATACTAAGTATGTAGGTATTCTACTACTACTTATAAAAAAAAACAATAACAATTTGTATAAAAATAGTTGTTTCATGCCGTTTAGATTTTTCATCTTTTTAATTGTGGTTTATTTAAAAAAATAAGTAACTTTAAAAGGTTTAAATATTCATTTCTTTACTGTATATTTATTGATAAAACCCATAAGTCGCTTAATGTTTTATTTATATTAATTGAATGTTTACATCAGAATTTGAACAACCAACATGAGTAAAATTCTGAACAATAATAATTTAAAAAAAATTCTGAATCGGAACAAAATATTAAATTGTCACCTATTATAGCTACAAAGATGTTTAAAGTTGTATCTTAATTATAGTAACAATTGCCTCATAACTGTGTTATATATGGAAAAGGAATTGTCAATTGGTAAACGCTATGCACCACATAATTATATAGCTATTATCTATATTATTTAAATTTAAAAGTATGACGCCAAGTTGCATAAAAAGTTAATCATTTAATGGTTTATTATAATTAATGGACCAATTACAGACAACAAAATTGTGTTCAAATTCCACTGAATATATTACATAACTTCATGAAATCTTTACTGAACGTTTATGCAAGTCGTAACCCGCCATTAATGTTTTATATGCAAAAATCTTACTTACTATAAAATTAAGTGTAAAATACACCAACATTGATAAGACTTTTATGAAATCAAAAAGAAATACCGTCATTACTCATTTGTAACGAATCTCTTAAATGCTATGGTCCTTTAAATAATACATTTTGTATTATTTATTAAAAGTATACATCTTTTTTTTGCGTTCAATGGATTTATTTTCGCACAGAAAATACTGAAGTCACACTTGGAACTTACTCAACAAGCAATTCCACAGATGTACGTACTCTTAT